CCCCTTAGCGAAGATAGCATGTGGATGAGGCTTACGCGTGTTACATATCTCCTTGGAGAAGACAGAAGGTGGTGAGGCGGGTTACATATCTCCCGGACGAAGATCATATGGTGGTGAGACGTTCGTTTTTCATTTCGATTTTAAAACCCGGAGGTTCATCAGCCTTGATAAATGTAATTATTTTTTATTATGTTATTATTGATACACGCGATGGCCTTTCAACTGAATGTCTGAAGCTACCTTTCTGAAGTTACAACTAACTGTTCCTAGACCGGGCACTAGAAAAGTAGAACGAATGACTCTGTCAACACAAGTTGTTATTCTAAACTTATGCTGTCATTGAAATTCTTAAACGTTACTTCGGTCTATTAATTTGCGAACGACATGTTTGTTTGTTTTGTTTCTTAACTTGAGAAACATTGAAACCGTAACTAGTTCTGTTAGTTCAAAGAACGTTATTAATAGATGGATATTCCGCTAAATCGATTCGTAAGACCTTGTTGTTTTTTCCTCTTAACATTGCATCTGTGTATTGAATAAAAACGTTACCTTCGTTTCGATGTTGGGTTCTGTAAAATAATTGTTTACTTGGCACTAAAATGAAAATAAAGTTAATTTTAAATAAATAAACTAGAAAATGGAAGCTGTGATATCGATATCTCGGATTCAAACAAGTTTGCTATTACGAGCATGTATTGTATTTACATTGTCAGTACCCATGGCCTAGTAAATATTGAACGTCCAGGCCACAGAATAATTAGCCTCGATCGTCCGCCGAATCTGGGCGCAAAAGGCAAAATAGTGGTGAATATATGAATGGATCACTGGAAATCAGTGATGACACCTGGTGTTTGCGAAAAGGATTAGTGTTGCCTTGTAAAATAGACAGAATTAAATAGCACATGCTAGTGTTCATCAATTCACTACCAATACAACTGATTGCAACAGCCTTTGACAGCATAGATCCAACCAATGTGTTTTATGACATCTTTGTACATAAATTTCTGGAGTACGTCGTTAAAATGGACATTACACTGCGTTGAACAGTTTCTTCAACGACAAAGCTTTATGTTATACTTCCTAACTTTCAGACTTTGATACAGAATACGGTTTCTCGTGACAAAACATTATTGCAAAGTATACGATATGTGAATATACAGGATTAATAAATTCGAAAAATCAACTCAAATCATACATGTATGTTGAAAAACATAAAACTAAGGCTACACTATCAACCTTCAAATTTCTTACAAACAAGTAGAATTTGGTTGGAATGTTACACAAAGCCTAAGACTTAACACATATTTCCAAAGCAAAAACACAACTTATAGCGCCCTATTTAGCCGCAGCAATAACCTATACAAACGAGTTATTACCATTTACATACATTGTAGGTCTGCCATTTATGCTAGACAGCAAGGAATAACAAACATTAGTTTAAAACATGAAAACTGGAAAGACACAGCAAATCTATCTCCCAGTTCTTACATAGGAACTGGAACCTGTTTTTTTTATCGCGACCAAAGAGCTGATAAATCACATAACTACTCCAAGATCAAATATAATTTGTCATGTTCACTACTTCAAAATTCTTTATTCCTATGATTCTCATATCTCTCATTTCACCGTCACATATTTCCTGGCTCTACAGGCCACGCACTGCTCCTCCTCATGCTCCTCCTCCAGTCTGTCCAACTCTGAGATCAGCACCTCCGCCACGCAGCAGGAGGCGGTGGAAGTCCTCAAAAGACAGACGCCCCACGATGTAGCTGAAGAATTCCTGAGCCTGATCACTATATAAGTGCAACAATCTTGGACGCGACGTTAAACCCCATTTCACCTCACCAATGAGTCTGACCGTCCGATCCCGTTAGTCGCATCTGGATTCGAGTACACTGATGACTTAAGATTCCAAATATTATTACTACTACTAAAACTTAATAAAAGCGACAAACCCTTTCCATAATCATAAGAAATGTCTGCTAAAAAAAGAGTCGATTGTGCGATTCCAGTTTTGACATGAACATGTATTTATGAAACACTGCCAGTTAGTGATGATACAATGTGTGTATGCGAAAATTCAGCGTATCTATCTCCAACGGTGGCACTCGCCACAAACATGCAAAGGCAAAGTCAGTCACTTGTTCATCTGAAAAATACACGGGAACAAATAGTGTCTAAATAGGGATATCTCCATTGCCCAGATACATTATTCCAAGAAGCTGTTTAAACAAATACATTTATAGGCTCACGGTTTTAATTAAAAGAATATCTAGTTTTGAATATGTAGGTGAAAAGTTATCAGGTCTCCATAAAAATCGTAGCCTAACCCCTCCATCCAACCCCAACCGAATATCAAATGCTCGGTCAGTTTCTATGAACCAGACAGTTGTTTGTGCTCAAGTTATCAAGAAGGAATCTTTGTCGTATTCGAGCAGCGGGATCAAAATATACATAGGTAGAAAGAGGACACATGAAATATCACTGGTGAATTTTCATCTCTATTTAACACTGTGAGAATATGGAGTTATAGTGTCGCCAAATTTTTTTATCGTGTATGGCAGGTATTCATATATTAGGCGCGCAGGTCCACATTTTTGACAAAGCCCTTCCCATAATCACAAGAAATCTCTGCTAAAAGCGGGTACGTTGTTGTAAATGTCCAGCCACATATGTTATATCGTATATTTATTGAAAACTCCCAACATCGCTGTTTATTAAATGAAATAAGAGATGCCAGATTTTGAGCATGCATTTATGAATTAAAATCAAGAAGTGATGATACCGGGGTTTCGTATAAAAGGTGAACAACTCTAAACTTGCTTAACTGAAAAGATAACAACCACTCGTAGCTCAATTACACACGTATAAAATAAAAAGTCGTAATTTTCCGTGTCAATAAAATATCAACTGCAAATACTTGCTCAGTGTGCTTCAAAATAGAACTAGAGAACTAACGAAACATAGTTAAAACAATCTAAAACTTACCTCTGCAGTTAAAGGTACACTCTTATATAATCGTGAGTCTTGGTCTTGCCAACAGTGTTGAGATGAATAGGCTGTCATCGGGGTGGCACGTATTCATGTCTCTGGCGACAGACGCTTTTGAATGAACAGTTCTTAACTCTTTGTAATGTATCCAATAGCAAATTCAAATCATATGATCTCAAAGAAACATTCACTGACCCGTCTGAGCTATGCTACAATGATGTGGTGTCTGGGCTTTAGATGAAAAAAGTTTGATTTTCTATTGGAACTGTTATCTGTCCATGACAAATGACGTCACTCTTCCAGAGATCGGCATGCTTTAAAACAAAAACGTATTTTGTTAACTGAGTTGCTCTTTCAAAAACAAACATAACCTTTCTCCCCTGTCTATCAATGAATGCAAAATGTATAAAATCATAACAGTAGTGGGGGCACGGGTGGCCCAGTTGTCTAAGGCGCCGCCATTCGCTGTGCAGAGTTGCGTCCCTTGGGCACGCCAGAAACCTATGATTGTGGGTTCGAATCCCGGTTCGCCCCAATTATGTTTCTAGGTTTGTCAGCACCATACCCGTGCTCGTGGGTTTCACCGAAGTGGTAAACGTCTGAGACCTGCATCACTTCGGGCTTTCCTCCCACATTAAGCTGACACGCCGCGATATAACTGGAATACTGTTAAAAGCGGCGTTAAACCCAACTCACTCACTCACTCATAACAGTAGTAGCAATGACGTTGTAGTCACAATATCACCTATCCAGGTCGTGAGAATTGTTTCTCGGGTTGTATTGGTAGTTTTTCTAAAGGGTGCGATTTCGCACTACCACCAGAATAAACAAAGTCGTATCCAAAGGTCGTCATGATAATCTTTTCGTTGCCTCGTGTGGATTATAATCAACATTGTGTATGAAGCTTTAAAGACTATATGACACAAATATGCACAGAATATACTGATACATTTCTTTCACAGAAACAAAGTGGTCAGTCCTACCCAACATGCTGCGTTGTTCATGGTCAAAATACATATTTGGTGCAATATTCCATGTTTGTATTCATGAGCTTTATGCATTATCAAGATGCATATTGAGTGATATATTCAAAGGTTGAACATTATTCATTATTGAAATAGACATAGGGTGTTACATTTCAAGTACCTACAGGTGAATTGTTATTTCGAGTATATTTCGAGCGTTATTCGTATCAAAAATGCATATAGGATATATCATTCCATTTTCGTTTCGATGTATTACCATTAAACATTCCTGTTCCGCTTCACACAAAAACACGGTAAAAGATGGTACTTGTTGTCCCCCTGCCTGGCGCGCGACATTAAGGGACTAAAACAAGGACAAGTCGGTTCGGAGTCAGTATACTGTGTCTGATGGGGGTATTCATCTAAAACTGCGGCTGGCATCTCATTTGGTGTAGTACTATAAAATCGGCATTAATCCGGACTAGTGCAAGCAGCCACACACACACACACACGCACGCACGCACGCACGCACGCACGCGCGTGACCCAGCGTATTTCCTTATTACCCAGAACAAGAGAGCCTTTTTGGACTTGGCTCTAGCATCCTAATGGAAACATTAGTGAAGCCGAAGGTGCAAAGGTTGCTTTGTGGAAGGCAGTAACGTCTGTGGTATCACATTAACCCACTCTTGCTATGTAAACGTTTGATTTTATAATAAAACCTGTAACATCACCATGATAGGGTTTCAGATCTTCTTGAAAACTAACTGATTGTCATCCCAAATATCCTCTTTTTCCAAATTTGGTAACATATATAGAAAATGCCCCATCAAAAGTTATTAAATCATGAACATGTCCTTTCAACGTTTTTAATCTCTTGCAAATATACTGTTGGCAATAGGTTTCGTCACCGTTGTGTCATTAGATGATTATTGCATCAAAATTAAATATGTCATGACATGGATATATTGCTAAAGTAAACGTGTATGAACTGCTCATAATTCTGCCACAGTTGGGAACACTGAACACCAATAATACTTGACCTTTCAGTTTTATTATCTGCGAGCCATAGAAGCAAGATCCTATAAAAATGGTTTATCTAACTGTAAATAACTTTTCACAGGTTACGATAAGCTCCTATCATACTGGAGGTAAAGATCTAATTTAACATTTTTTAAGTTATTCCAAACAAGAAAATGATAATATAAATTTCGACACATACACATTTTACATATTCTCACTCGTGAGGTTTCATCTAAATAATGCTACAATACATCCGGGCAAATGAAATCAACTCGGGTTTTGAAAATACTTCTAGTCCTAATGATGCAGCTTGCTAATTTCCTGGGAAAGTTACATGTGCGTCTATTAAGATTGTATAAAGGATGATGGTTAAGCTTTGAGACAAGGATTTGGTGGTACATTTGCGGTATAGTTTGGACAAATCTTCAGGTCTCAGATTCAAGTCAAAAGTTGATAGCACTGATGCCTGGTTTGGGTGGAACTCTTCCTCAGTTAACATACTGCCCTCAGTGCCATTGTTTTCGATTTTCTTGCCAAGTGTGTTTGAGGAATGATAAACATCAATACGGACAATGGAATGTAGGAAGTTTTCTTCCTTGAGTTCTGATCCCAAGCAGGTGAACATTACACAGAAGAACGTCACTCTATGGTATTTGTCTGTGAAGGCAGGGTGGTATCAGCAGGACATCCATGAAGGATCACTTGTTAAGTATACCTTCTTTGTCAGTGTCGATTTGAAAACTGGTACCTGTTTCTGACGTGCTTCCCCACCTGTTATCCGTGACATGTCATTGGCGGTCATCGATAAGCAGCTTAACAGGTCATGTTCGTCACTTTGAGTACCTAAGAATCTAGTCAGGTGGGAGACGAAAGAGCTGCCAGTCTTAACATTTACGTAGCTGTCATAGCCCTGATAAGTGCTGTGCCCAATGAGAATATCGGCATTATCAGCAATTGATGTAACCGTGTCATCTTCAGATTCACGCACTAATTTAGTTTGATTTTCCATTGTCAGTCCACCCATTACACCAGATCCTCTTGGGGAATCGACTAAGAAGATTTTGGGCTTTCCGGCCATGGATGGGCATCTTGATGCCTTGAAGGGTGCTGCTAGATCGTTTATGTTCACGACTTGGCCATCAGAGGCTGCGATACCCTCTTTACTCCCTTGACTTAAAATAAAACAAACGAATGCGTCATGCCTACTGTGATCTTTCTCAGCGCATATTTGAAGAGTCTTCTTCATGTCAGATTTGTTGAGATTTTCCTTTACTCTTATTGTGAAATGGAGTTTGGCGAAGAGCTCTGTCAACTTAAATACATCACCAACTGATCCATGCCGGTATTCCCCGCCTCTTAATATCATATTGTTAATGATAAGACAAATTCCCCTCGGAATACAGGCCATCTGGTATTCTGAAACTAAAATCGTTAAGGTTCATTAAGGTTGTATACGCAGAAATTGAAACAATTGATACTATAGTCCAGTCCTTAAGTATTTACCCAAATGAGATCAGTTAATAAACGAATATACACTATGACGATAGTGTTAAAACAAATGATAATTAAATCAATAAAGTTAAAATATTATGATGCACATGTTGAGATATATCGTCGTGTCTTATACAAACAGTGGTCCATCAAATCCACAATATAAATATTCTTATGATCACGTTTCTTTCAAACAGTAATTTTGAAATGTTGCCATGAATTTGAAAATTACCCAATTCTGAGTGTCAGTCAGAGGTATGAAATGACCGTAACCACCTCTCATTGAAATACTCCATTTGACGGCCGTATCACCGCGGAAGTTACTAATTAGTATTTATAATCACAGAAAAGTACTTAATTCTCAATTATGTCAGTAGACATTTTAAAAGAATAATAATAACATGTGCTGTTATAAGTTCCAAAATATAAAGTTACAGTAACAACAATATTTAAAGTATGCGTGACAATACATTGTGTGTAGAGAAAACGATAGAAATCAACAAAACTACGACAGTGTATTTCAAGTCTTATGTGCCACATCGAGCTTGTACTTTGGCAGACTGTGACATCATCCTTTCTGCGTCATAATGAGCGGCTTGACGTCATAACAGTGACGTACGATAAGGAACTAAAACTTGCAAGGCTTACCTAATTTACTTTATGGGTTCCCACTTATCGCTGGCTTCCGATGTTATATTACTACATACTTTCACCGCTTGTTATATATGTAAGAACAGTGGAATGGTGTCAATAACAATGCTTGAGCGTATACGGCTTCAACCTTTGTTAAATGGATCGTGCCGGTGGTTCCTTAATTCGGTGAACAGTGAACTCAACACTTGCCACTTCACTTAACAGCTTGGCGAACACGGAAGAGGTCGCGTTTAATTCTGTCATGGTAGAATTGAGATACATTTGTACATCTGCTTTGTGAGTTTGGTTTTAAATTCAATTTAGCGCGGTGAAATATATAGGTACATAGCTCTACATTAAAAATCCCAGGTTGTTGAATGCTCACCAAGGTAGTCATACAGACATGTGTAGTCATTGAAATGTGATCTTCGCCATGTGATGACATGTATGTTATGACGAAATATTTGTTTGTTGGTTATAGTCACAAAGGGAACAGGTTTTGAAATGAAGCAAATGGATACACATACACAGATTGGAACCTAAACTAAAATCAGTTCCGTTAATAACGTACCTTTCACCTTGAAAGACATGTTTCCCGATACATCTTCATCAAGGTCGGACATGTCAAGCAGTGTCACATCGCTTTCACAGTCAGTGAAGCTTTCTTGTGGAGAGATTGGATCCGGAACATCCTGAGAGGGACAAGAACACCTCAGAGAATCGCACTTCTGTCTCTTGAAATCCTTGTAAAAATCTGGATATTTGTTCTTCATAGCAGTAATGATGTCTTCGTCCCTTACTTCTTTCCTAAGCTCTGCCCATTTTGTGTTGTTGGACATGCCGGGACTTTTCAGATCAGTAAACAAAGGTACTTCAATGACTCCATTTTGTAGCAACGGCGTTGCTATTCTTTTGAGCTGTTAATATGAAGTTGAATCTTAAAAGTATTGTCGTTCATATTAATTTTATCAACCTTATTTTGAGATTCGTATTTACCTTATCGACAATTTAATTTAACAGTCGATGTAATTTTCTTACGTATGTGTGTACAAAATAAGTTAAATGTCGTACTCAAATGTGTCCTGCGCTTGAGAGAGCATTAATGTTCTTCATACATCAAAGAGTAGTTATTATTCAAGTATTTTATTGTCGAATAGATCCAAACTCCTTGCGATTAATTCCAGTGTTTTCTGGATTTCAGCTCTCACTAAAATCAACTTTCTCTCATGTTGCTACACTTCGACAGACTAAGCCTGAAGTAGATGTTTGCATGGGGTGTTTGCATGGGATGTATGAATCATATGCATTGTTCTCTCTTACCGTCACATATTTCCTGGCTCTACAGGCCACACATTGTTCGTCCTCATGCCCCTCCCCCGGTCTGTCCAACTCCGAGATCAGCGCCTCCGCCAGGTGAGGATGATCCTTCCTCAGGGCAGGAAGCAGGTGGCGGCGGAAGTCCTCAAAAGACAGACGCCCCTTGATGAAGCTGAGAAACTCCTCGTTCTGACCTCTCCTCGTGACCTTTCCTCTGATACTGTCCATATCTGACTCGGACATCACTTCAGATGCTATAAGGTCATCAATAATGCTGGAGGTGGAGAGTTCAAGGTCACTTGTGAGCAAAGGGTGGCATTTCCTGAGTGCCTTTCGGTGCATGTGATTAATAGTTGGTCTTTTATCTGAATAAGGAATAAAGAAGTAACTTATGTAAGTAGACAACGAAGTTGACACTGTAATCTGAGATGAATTGAAGGAACAAATAATCATATCAAGGTCAGTCTTTAAAAGAGGACTGCATATGTGATGACCTTCAAAGTTTTAAAAGAAAATACTCTTCAGATGAAATATGTACAGAATATATTAAACCTTGAATGGATTACTTTATATATTTTTTTACATTCGACTATAATTGGATGTATATCTTTCATATTGCAAGAAATGTTGTAGAGAGAGATACATGTAGAGAGAGAGAGAGAGAGAGAGAGAGTGAGAGAGAGAGAGAGAGAGAGAGAGAGAGAGAGAGAGAGAGAGAGTATGGTTTTACGGCATGTAGCATGGATTTAAATATATATATATTTTAAGAGTTGACTTTCACTTTGTGTGAGTTCATTGGGGTATGAACCTTCATAGAGTGAGGGCAAAACTGTATGAACGTCGGAGCACACAAAGTGAAAGTCAATTTTGATAATTTTCTGTATCCCTTTTAGGACCTCAAAGGATCTAGATCTAATCGCAAAATTTAGTACTTGTGGCTTCATGTTTACACTGACAGCCAAACAACAATCAGCTGTATCGCGGAATAAAATAGTTCCTCAAAACGAGAGGTGACATAAAGTTATATTTCCTCATGCTCTACAGGAACAACTTTTGAAGGAACAACAAATACATTCAAATATTATCCTCAATAGATGAGAAGGATCCGTTAAGAACTACCCCAGTAACTCAGTCACAATGACAGCGCGTCGTAATAAATTTACATCAAGTACAAGACGTCAATATGACCGACACAATAAACGTGACAGGAGAGATTTCGGAAGCTGTTAAAGATCCTGTGGCGGTTACCTGTTTTAGTTATCATTGATCAACTGGTCGATCATTGAAAGGGGATTAAAGGTGCGTCAATTAGACACTAAGGTAAATTCATATATTGCTGTAGACTGTCACTGTCAGCCTAGACACGGATCGAGTCGAAACTTCGATATTTTTACATTTCTTCGTTTTGTTCACTCTAGGTTCGGTCGTAGCGAGGATGTTCGTAAACGACCAGGCAGTCAAACTCTCTGAAGTTGCACAATGTATACTGAAACGCTGAGTTTAAGATTAAAGGGTAAAAATGATCAGAAGGAACGATTCTGTATGTATTCGTGCAAGGGAATTCCAAGGGGTTTCCCCAGGAATGTGGAAGTAGTCTGTCAGTGTTAACGTCATTTCAAGAACACGGTCTCGTGCAAAAAGTATGAACGTCAAATTGTGTCGTTCATACACTTATGAACGTCAATTTCGCGGTCATGTGACCGACCTCTTGTCCAATGGAAAAGCCGTATATCGTGTAAACTTCAAATTAAAAAAAATATATATATATGCAAAAATCCACATGCATATTATGGAAGTAATCCATTTAGTTAGTACTATTACATCCTACTGATGTGGCCGATGCATATCACGTTCCCAATTATCACATCATAAAAGTGCGCTGTAACTTGCGGTAGGATTTACAATATGTTAATATAAAGAGTTCATTTCTTAGCCTTAATAAAATTACCGACCCGTTGTGCCTTTATTGTTGAGTGTTGTTTTAATCTGATTTTCCATCCGGGCAATCATATCACGCATGGACTGAAAGTTCTTCTCGCCTTTCATCTGTTGTATTTTCCGTCTGTGCGCCCTGAATCTCTTCTCCAACTCCACAAGTGTCTGAAACATCGTATCCCGGAGCACCTGCTCAAGCTCCTTCTCTTCATTGTTCTCCGAGATGTTTCGGACAAACGCCAGGACATACTCAGCCCGTTTCTCCTCTGCAGTTGCCTCATACCTGTCACCACACACACACACACTCATTGGATTTTATTGGAATTAGACTATTTTGTAAATATGATAATTACATTTTATAACTTTATTTTTGTTATCCAAATTTAGTTTAATATACCACAGGAATAGTATCATCACAGCACATTTCTTTTATAGTTTGTCACTTTCAACGAGGCATCAACCAACAACTGTTGTTTCACTTTCAGTTTCACCCAACGATTTGGGTAACGAGGGAAAACATTGACTGTTGAACAATGGTAAGAGCCAAGATACATTAGGGGCATCTTAACTTTTATTATTGATTGTGAGAAGCACACATTGAAGGTTCACGTCTGTATTTAGATATGACAGGTGCGAATAACCAGTGAAAGAGAAACAGGGGCTCACCAAGCTTGTTTTAGGGAGTGATATCGGCAGTGAGATATTCATTCTTGTTGGTCACATCTCGGACATGGACTACACACGAAGACAGCTACTCAAAGACTTTGTATTAGAGAATGGAGAAATGTAACGTATTATCTGACAATAATAACTGCAAACATTTCTCTCTCTTCCTCGACCCCCTTTACGAGTGGAGGGTTGCATCTCAGTATATACAGTAATAATATCAAGGGCGAGAGATGAACAAATAGTCCTTTATACATCATCACAGTATTGAAATATCGTTAATACCTCGGTCGGTGTTCATCCGCCAGTGCAACTGGTCTGTCATCTTTTTCACGTTCGACCTTCGTTGTTTCTTGATGGAGTGAATCCCTTTTGTGGATTTTCGAGACATCTGGTGTCTGTTCCACATGCTTATCGGCCTTTTGTGGAACCTGAATATGTGACTGCCGTGCCTCTATGTTCCTTGACTCACTGAAATGTATTCTGAAATGACTAAGTCATTGTCTTTACAGCTGACAGAGGCAAAAACGTATTGTCCTTAAATATATCACTAGAATACATAAGTTAACATACGAAATAAGTAGCTGATAATTTAAGCAGTTCGGTACAACGTTTACAACTTTTTATATTATTGATATTATCATAGAAGATGCGTTCAGAAACTTACATATGGAAGCGATTAATACTTAAATGCTACCTGTGTGTCATATGCACAACATATACAGACATGTAACAGAATGAGGTAAACTTGAAACAATACAAAATGTATCATCGACAACAACAACTTGCAAGTATCAACACATACATGTAGGTCGCTTTAATATGAATATTCCATGAAAATATTTCAGACAACAACCACTAAACATGAGATTACATGTGTTTCTATACTTTGTCGATGATTCCATTTGGCGTAATGGGAATTATATATATGGATCACTGAAAATCATGTCCTTCCCTACCGGTAGCACCCGCCATCCATACAGTTTGCATAAAAAGGGTTTACTTATATTTATTGCTGGTCACATTTCGGACATGGACTACACACGAAGACAGCTACTCAAAGACTTTGTATAAGAGAATGGAGAAATTTAACGTACTATCTGACAATAATAACTGCAAACATTTCTCTCTCTTCCTCGACCCCCTTTACGAGTGGAGGGTTGCATCTCAATATATACAGTAATAATAGCAAGGGCAAGAGATGAAAAAATAGTCCTTTATACATCATCACAGTATTGAAATATCGTTAATACCTCGGTCGGTGTTCATCCGCCAGTGCAACTGGTCTGTCATCTTTTTTACGTTCGACCTTCGTTGTTTCTTGAAGGAGTGAATCCCTTTTGTGGATTTTCGAGACATCTGGTGTCTGTTCCACATGCTTATCGGCCTTTTGTGGAACCTGAATATGTGACTGCCGTGCCTCTATGTTCCTTGACTCACTGAAATGTATTCTGAAATGACTAAGTCATTGTCTTTACAGCTGACAGAGGTAAAAGCGTATTGTCCTTAAATATATCACTAGAATACATAAGTAAACATACGAAATAAGTAGCTGATCATTTAAGCACTTCGGTACAACGTTTACAACTTTTTATATCATTGATATTATCATAGAAGATGCGTTCAGAAACTTACATATGGAAGCGATTAATACTTAATGTAAATGCTACCTGTGTGTCATATGCACAACATATACAGACATGTAACAGAATGAGGTAAACTTGAAACAATACAAAATGTATCATCGACAACAACAACTTGCAAGTATCAACACATACATGTTGGTCGCTTTGATATGAATATTCCATGAAAATATGTCAGACCACAACCACCAAACATGAGATTACATGTGTTTCTATACTTTGTCGATGGCGGAGGACACTTCTCTTGACTGCTCATTTCCCACAAGGTGAACTTTTCACCACTCAACCATGTATAAGCAGCTTCATTTGTCATAAAGACAGGGTTGGGTGACTCTGACATTTCTTACTGGAACACGCAGGATGCTCTGATGAACCTTCCACACACATGCTTTGTTTTGCAATTGAATCTTTCCTCCGAGGTACGTAAGAATGGTTTCTTCAGTTGACTTGATAAATTGAACAGTATTTTCTAACTATATAATCACTTCATGTCAATGAACATATTATGGGTGTGTTATTAGTGGATGAACCTTTACACAACTTAAGTTAGGTAAGGCAGTTTGACTACTACTATTTTGGAGTCGTTGCAGTGACTTAAAACCATTTGTACCAACCTCTTATGCTCCTTCCTCAGTCCATCCTCTCGCACACGTTCCGCCGTCTCCTGATGCATCCAGGCTGTCTCTATGTCGTGGGTCATCTGTCTCTCCGATGGTTTGTACATCTTCTCTCTGCTTGCTGTTATTTGGGCCTGGCTGTTGGAATGCTCACTTGCAATGTCTCCTCTCTCTCCATATCTGAAATATATACACTAATTTGGAAGCAAAGGAGAGGTGTAAAAACAACTGGCATTTTTACACTTTTTATCAATAGTGACATCAATCCATTTACTGTCGATCGAGCACCTTGTATGAGATCTAGAACAAATAGGTATTTTGTAACATACAAATATTTGTAAACTAATATTATCTTTAGTACGATAAATATTGCTGTTGTTCGTGAAGCATTGTCATCATCTACTGTCATGTAAATTACTATTAAATATAAAATGCTAATTCAATAAAACTAACCAGTCTTGATTATCGGTCGAGACTGATTCCTTTTGGCGTAATGGGAATTATATAAATGGATCACTTAAAATCATGTCCTTTCCTACCGGTAGCACCAGCCATTCATACAATTTGTATAAAAAGGGTTTACTTATATTTATTGCCTGACGCCGCACAACAGTACTCCAGCCATGCGACGGCAGTCAGTACACAAAACAGACAAATAAGTGATCGATGATCGAGTTTATGCCTCGGCCAAAACATTTCTTTTTTAGTTGACTTCGCATAGATTAATGAACTGAAAAAAATAACTGAACTCATGATGAAACTCGGGAACTCCTCCAGCAGAAATATCAACCCAGTTCAAGTAAATATAGAATGTCAATGCAAAGGAATAACCAATCGACGAAACTGATTCCATTTGGTGTAAAAGTCAAAATAGTTTTTATGAATGGACCACTGAAAATCAGTGATGACACCAGGTGTTCGCGAAAAGCATGTCCTTCCCTACTGACAGCATCCGCCATTCAATGTATTAGTCGTTTTTTGCCATGTTTTAAGTAGTTGGTGGTTAAATGTTGGTTGTAATGGGGAATACTGGTATCTGACATTCTTACTTGACAAGATTCTCTTCAGAAATGTATTTTTTTAATTTCGTGTCTTCTTCCTCGATGCCATCCAGTGACCTGGGCAGGATGCGGCTTTTGAGCTCCTCGGTCTAAATATGGTAACAGAATCACACTAAAATCACATCTAGTCTCTGAAATGAACATATCTTACAGAAAAAAACACACTTGTTAAATTATCTAAATAGAAATATAATAAAAAGGAACCCAGAGACTCTCTTCATTTATCTATGCTTGCCAAACATAATAAAACTTGCAGGGGCTGTATTGGACATATTTGTATCAGGGTGGACACATAATCCCATTTCACTGACTGCTAGTACGAAAACACTTTAATACCACTTAATAGTCTTCTGTTTTGGGACAGGACATTACACGAGAAAAGATAGCAGTAGTAGAGAGCCGGTCATCTTCCCGAGGCAGGAGACTTTAAAAATCCAGTTTCCACCCTTGCCGAACTAGGCTGGAATTCCTGGGCTCGATCGTAGCGCCACCAGTGGCTATTACGAGTTATGTCCTTTCTATGCCTCTCCTTTTGACCAATCGGATATAACCTCTCGTATCACTTGCATTTGCTTCAAACAAAACGGTGGCGCCCAGTCAAGACAATCTGATCGATAATCAAGATCTATATTGTGATAAAACTAGTCTTACATCGCGAAGTGCATCAAATCACGTGAGCACCTTGATTAAAAACATGAAAAGATTTAGAAAACATCTGTTGACAACGATTTAGCGGTGAACATGCTTTGCAAATCCTGCAGTCGACCGAAATCTGCATGACACTTTACGAACCGGATTTCGATTTCGGTGCGCGATTTTGATTGGACTCGTTAGTCCAGCCAAAATGTAACTCCATAATACCAGCCTAGTTCGGCAAGGGTGGAAACTGAACTTTTTTAGTCAGTTAACTCACTTGCCACGGGAAGATGAGAGCCGGTCGATGGAGCGAACCAACAGCAGATGACCTGTGGGGCAACAGAAGAAAAATTCTCCGTGGTCGTGGACGAATAATTATGGCGACGTTTCAGTTGAACCATGATTCAGGTACACGAGATGTTAGTGGAGGAAGAACGACAGTAGATGACTTATCAGGGTACGTTGGACGACATATCAATGGACGCGAGAACACCGGATGACTTCGCAGTGGAAATGCCACGGCAGTATATGACGTGTCCTTGGACGCGCTCAATCGACAATAGCAAACATGTCAGTGGACGCAAAACGAAACTAGAAGACTTTTGAATACAGACAGTCAGTTGATAGTGAAACAGAATCTTGACAATAGTCAATTCGTAATTGCCTGATTGGTGAATCTTAAATTCGCAATGGGCATAGTCATGATATGCATTATATTAATTAAGTAATAAGTCTTAGTGACGCGAAACCGTCACACTTCGTGACAGCCATAGATATGTCATAGACAACCTTCGAAATTATATCCATCACTGGCCAAAGGAGTGAGCAATCCTTCAAAAGGTACATAACCATACACATCTTCTGTTGCTCAACTGCGGAGTTTTGCAACAAACTACAGTTACATACAACTGTTGCTCTTTCTCCGACATGTTCGTCCCACAGCGACAACAGTTTACGCCAGTTCTCCTCGCCCCACGCCGTGGATTCACATATTGTTTCCAAGAGTTATTCCAGGTCATAGCTTACAGTTGTTTCAGTTTGCTAACGCTAATGGTGGAAACATAAGTTTCAACTTTGACGACAAAACACACCTCAAATCACAATAACCAGCGACACAATTTTGGCTGTGTTATATGTGATAGATCGGCCCAATAATGCGGCTGTGGAATACTTAGTGTTACGTGATTTAACTGAGCCAAATATGTATAACAGAAATGTTGATCCTTATTGCTGTATGGGATTTCTGACAACCACACACTGTAGGAGTATGAAGTATGGGTTATGTGACGCCAAGCTACCCTTTTTAGAGGTGTCCTGTCACGTTTAATACGACTTTTGTCTCTCTAAGGTACAGGCGATCAGATGGAACAACATGTCAGTTACCCCTTTCGAGGATTTCCAGCTGGCGGTGCCGCGTATAACATATGTCATTTTAAAGCTATCTCAATTGTTAGTCTTAATTCGGCATGTTAGAAAAGTAAAAGTTTGCTCTACCCCGATGTGTAGTGTAATTAAATATAATTTTACACATGGATTATTATAACGTGAAGCTGTCGTCTTCGCTTATGGTTCAGGGCAAAACTGTAATTTATTACACAACTGACTGGGTAGAGAAAACCTGGGTAGAAATGACTGGCAACCATGTTGTACCCTTTTGGACATCAGGGTCTGAAGCTGAATAAAACGGTTTGTACCTTTGCGATTGTCTTGCTTCCTGTTTGTTCACCCTGGCTCTTGGCGAAGTACTGATAGTACGATGACACATAGGTGATGATGGCTTTCTCATCTGGATTTTGCACATGGACATCTCATAGAAAATAAAGAAACATTTTATAAATCTTCCAACTCCGAAAACCCTTAACAATAACACCAAGACAGAATAGAGGTCCAGCAATAACCCCGTTGCCCTTCGCGTACAGGGAGTCAGCGAGGGAGTTTGTGAGTGAGAGAGATGTAGATGGTTTACACTGCACCATGAAGTTTGTACAGTTGTGCAGCAAGAACACTGACACTTAAGTTCTGTTATGAAACAATCTTTTTTGCTACATGATATTCCACATTCATCCAAGTTATACGAGGGCTGGTCAAACACTTCAAAGCCTAACTAACAAAACCAACAATTGTGAAAGTGTTTTTAATTTTATTTTTCAATATAATCTCCCTGCTTTTCAATACATCTCTCAATAGTGAAGCATATATTTCAAGTCAGGGAGAAGCTTTCTGAAGCCACCACGAAAAACCCATTCACACCATTTTTGAGGTCATCGTCATTATTTCAGTTTTGTAAACAGGTGGAAATCACTTTGTGCCAAGTTTGGCGAATATGGAGGGCGAGGAAGCTCTTCGAAACCACATTGACGCACAGACGCTTTTGCAAGTTGAGAGGTGTGAGAAGAGACATTGTCGTGAAGGAGTAGAACTCCAACAGTCAGCATCACTCTTCGCTTTTCTTTGATAGAATCTCTCAGAACCCCTAAGGCGATGTCAGTTCTTTTGTCCCTTAAGATCAGAATTTAGAAACGTTGGCACCTAACGAGCAGATATCCTATTCATCTGTAAATGTTCACGAATATTATAGTTTCAGTGGATCCATGGCTTAGACCTGTGTCTTCCTCAAGTTCAATACGCCTATCTGACAGTAGAAGTTTTGCTATCTTATTGATTGATTCTTTATGGATGAGATTTCAGGGACGTCCACACATAGGGTCATCATCAAGGCTTGTTCTCCCAGCCTTAAACATACCTGCCCTATCGTTTTTCAAATTGAATGGAATAGTGAGTGAGTGAGTAAGTATGGGTTTACGCCATTTTTAGCAATATTTAAAGTTGAATAGCTAGGGCTCTTATCCCCATACACTTGTGACATGCGGTCATGAATTTCATGAACTATGAACTATGCACTCAATGTACTACATTGACAAGGTCACTTTGTTATGTGGTCCACAGTTGAAAAATAGTCATGCTCAGACCTTTGACCAGCCCTCGTACATATCCGTGTTGCTCCCTGTACAGACAGTGATACCATCTCTGTAATGTACATACATCAGCAGTGTCCTCACTGTACCATACTCACATTACCGCTGTCACTGCCCCTATACACAGCGAGGTGAAACCAGCCAGTATCAGCATCACCTACCCTCAGCGTCCAACATCCTTTGGATCCCTAGCTCGGTGTCGGCGATGTTGAAGGCGTGGTTCAAGTTACCAACGTTGTCCCAAACTGTCAGCTTATTGAAGTGAAACAGGTCAGGCCTGAGATAAATAACATCAAAATCCATGAAAATCAGAGAGCGGAAGGTTGGAGATTCGATACTGAAAGACGTTCATAGAACCCTCCAGTTACCCTATCCGGCATTCAGCATTAAGGTGATAAAGCCGGAACTGGACAGCTCAGAGACCGCATACTGTGTTGAACTGTGGCATATCTCAGTCCGGGCTAGTCCGGACTTGCACAACCAATATTGGCACTTCTCTATATCCGAGTGCAATATCTTGAACTCGACCTTAAACCACATACTTCTGACTCACCCAGGTCTAAGTTATAACATATCCAAATCCATCCAAAATATTAAACCTTTCTAATCCAAGAAAATTGTCCCGCACTATTTTCAATAATTACACAAGAGTATGAACATTACATCATACTTGGAACAAAAGATTAAAAGACGACTGAATAAATTAGAATTTACCCAAGCCATTTCGCCAGCTGTTGGTGAAGTTTGTGATTTTGACTCCAGGGTAGCTGAAAAAACTCTTTACATTATACATATTTTAAAAGCACCATATGTATGTATAGGTTGAATTTAGAGTCTTCCCTTTTGGGAAAATGCTATACATAACTTAATGAATGAAACATTTGTTCAGTGTTAAGCAACATTTTAATTCCCGGAGAGACACCACAGGAAAAGCAAATGCCAGTATCAAGGACTATCTTTTGCAATGTGTCACGATGTTAAACGTGCCACTAAAGTCGTAACGGTCCTTCACTTCATTTTCACATGAACTAGTTACTAATAAATGTCTTGTACTGCCACCTCCCTACTTCCCCAGACCCGGGACTCCCCTGATAAACTCACCCCTCAGTCTTCCTCTGACACCACAGCAACAGGGCATCCTTTGCTGATCTCCTCTCACTATTCTCCTCCCCCTCATCCTGAAGCAGATGTGATCATAACCTTAAACATGCTGTCAGGCGTAAAATTTCGTAAAAAAATGAAATAAAACTTCAATCAAACATTTATTCAATAAATTATAATAAAAAGCAAGAAAAATATGTTGATATGTCATTAAAGCATATCACATAACATATGTGTTTCCTGTTCAGATAACATCTTGTTCTTTATTGTAATTAATGTTAGTAATTAATTAGGAATGATAAGCTGGACACAATCTCCTGAAGTTTAAGTTGACGTAAAGGAGACAGAAATGATCACTCCATTGCAGGTTACAAAGTTTGTGAACACCAATTTTCCGCAACCACCATTAGATGGGTGTGATGTGACAATGTTCATAGTGGGCACTCACCACTTGCATTGTGATCTCCTGGACATTGAAGACAAGGATGATGGTCCAGATTAGACCCAGAATCAGATGAGGGTTCCCATTAATGATATCTTCAGCACTAATATTCGTAAGGCGAGCCTGTAACATAATGAGAATGATATGAGAACTTACAATAGTGGCAACATACCTTGGATGTCAGAGAGTCTGCGCAAGTGAAATATGTCTTACACTGAGATGGGCAATGGATAACCTATGTCACCGTGACCTGAGAAGAGAGAAAGGCAAAGTGGCAAAACCAATGGTTGACAGTGTGAGCATTGATTTCATGTTAGGATGGTTTTGTTACATGCTCTTTCAGGGTTGAAATATAGTCATTGGCCATAAGGTCACGTAGGCAAGCAGTGCACTAGGTGGGAGTAGGGATGTATCGGACGTAAGTCAATAAGCCATTCTTTTAAATGGTACAGTCAGCCATATTCAACCAATTTAATGGTAGCCTTTAAGAAATGAGCATAGTCGTAAAGTAGTAACTATAAACGACAAATACACTTTCACAACCATAAAAAACACACTCATAGAAGCAGAGACCAAATCAGTCAGATCACACATTACCATTCAAACCTTATTTAAGCTTGCTCATGAGACGATTATGTCAGTAATCACAGAAATACAAATGACAGGTGATTCAGAAACACATGCTCAAGATATCGGAATCGTAAAGTCAACTGTATCTGGCACATATATCTTATGGATATGGAAAGGGTTTAATTTCACAGTTATATGTATGTAAGTCTGCACAACATTAAAAACTATTCACCTTTCTCTCATATTGAAGGAACGTAAGGCATTTGTTCAGGTTCTCTACTTTCTTCACCCTTATTTGTCCGGTGTTGGGTGTACCGAGACTCTGGCCTGAGAGGATCTCCAGCAGTTTCATCAATATCTTGCCATTAGCCAGGTCTTTGAACAAGTCCTTTATCTTTAGTCTCGCCTGCAACAACAAATCACTAACTATTGTTCTGACGGAACATCCCTGTTGGGTAGACACCACTCAACTTGCTCAACCACATACATTACATCACATGTTTTATGGTGAGTCCAAAGAGAAAGTATATGATGGAAGACATAACAGCAAAAGATGATCATATCATTTACAAAGATCTGGAATACTATATTTTACAGATTGTCAAAAATGTCTCAGAAGAAACACATATCCAGGCCTGTTGAAATAACACATGATCATCTACGTGGGCCAGTGTCTGATCACACACCATCATGCTTTGTTAAACAAAATGCGTAATTTTCTATATGCACCTTACAATTTCAAATTTAGTGAGGTTATTCCAATTTATACAGATGAAAAAGATAAATCAGACACAAAAAGGTACAGAAGAATCACACTGACCTTGAAAAATCTTTTGAAACACATCAATTAATGCGAATAGAAAACATATAGATCAAAACTATTCTGATTTCCATGACATGCTCCTATTTGGATTTAAGGAACATGGGGAAACATTGAGCGTTTTCTCATTACTTGAAAGTATTAATAGTCAGTTGACACGTCAAAAGTCAATGCAAGAGAGTAGTCAGTTTTAATTAAATGCCGAAACAGATTCCATTTGGCGTAAATTTTCACTCACTGCAGGCCTGTCTTCTTTCATGCGAAAATATAACACTGACAAATAATTGTCTTTGGAATTCTTATTTTTAAATACCCTGAACATAGAGCAGCCCTCAAACTATGCTTAAATTATCGCCATGAAACAAATTCTCGAAGGCTGTTCATTTGTTACATCAATGCATTTGACTGTTATATTTAAGTATTGACTGCTTTCTGGTTTTGCGTTTATGGAGTTGTAGAAGATGGCAGTTCTGTATATAGTGATCATGCTTTATTAATTTAGCTTTTAATTTACTAATGTATGTTGTCAATAATGTTATTTTGTATATTTCAGATATTGCAGTAATTAACAATTACTTATTGTATTTCTCAGTTCAGGCTGCAAACTTAGTTAGTAAGCCAAGTATCAGCATAAAGCCCTACTTAGTGGGTCAGTCAACTTCTTGGTGGTCAATCAGAGTGTAAGCCCAGGCGTCCTTTGGATTGGCTAGTTTTAAATCTCTGTGTCCCACTTTCAAAACCCTTTGTTTTCACCCTGCACTTTGCATTTACACTTCACTGTGTACTGGACTGAGGGAAAGGATAATACTTATATAAAGGTTAGTAGCTAAAGTTATAATTGTATTTTATGCCAGTATTATTATGCAAATCATTTTAGCTTAATACATGACTATATATATCCTTAATTATATTTAAACATGTCACATTTACTACTACAGTAAACTGCGGTTATAACGAACTCAAAGGGACCACTAATTTTAGTTCGTTATAACCTTGGGTCGTTATAAGCATATATACAGCATAACTACAGCAAATAGTCGGGCCAAAAAAGTAAGTTCGTTATATCCGTCAGTTCGTTATAAGCGTGTTCGTTATAAACGTAGTTTACTGTATTAGTGTGTGCATGTTGAGTGTATGTAAACTAGATATATTTCATTTCACTATATGTGTGTCTGTGTTAATCTAGGACATTTGTGTATTCAGTAACTTGTATTGTGCATTAATAATTTGATAATAGTTTACATGTAATCTTTATATCTGTAAATAAACATGTCTTCGTGATGTATTATATATCATGAACAGGTTATCAAGAGGGATTTATCTTATTTACGAGGGATTGTGACCACCCAAATACATCCCATATATTGCTTCTTTTGTTATAAAATAATATAATATTATATTTATTGTACCATATTTATATTAAATTTGTAAATCCATTATACTTACAAATCTAAGCTTAAATTGTGGAATGTTATACCTGTTATAACATGTATAGCTTATAAGTGTAGTAGATTAGTTTTTAATCTGCTTCGGTTTTGATGTACAGGATATAATTGTATATTTATAGTTGTATTCATTATTCCAGAGTGTCGGTTTATCATCACAGAAAATAAATAATCAGACCTCACACCCTAGCCTGTGTCATTATGTTTTGCGATACATATGCACGTATTAATGGCTACAACAGAGTTAAAAACAAGTGTTCTTACTGACAAAAAACCCCGTGAGTTTTGAGCAAGGGAAAATATTTCCCGCCAATGGGTCAAATCTTTTCGCCCAAGGGCGAAATATTGTAATATGTTCAATAAGTTGAATGAGTTAAAATGAGTTGAATCACGTGTCATGATGCTTGTCAACAGACCTATATGTATTTGCAAAAGAAAAACATGACTTTTGAGCAAAGGAAAATATTCTCGCCCATGGGCGACATTGTTTAAATTTTGAATTTTCGAAACATTTTGTTCCATTTTTTCTTCCTTTTTATGTACCCATGAGAACAGCATGTTCAATTTTGTAAATACCTTTGACCGAGACTGGCCACAGCATGGATAGTTTCTGGACAAATGGGTTTCCAGAATTAAAATGGTACGTGCACTGTAAATCCACGTAGCAAATTTCCGCAAAGTGTGCACATCGATTTTACGTCTATGACTCCATAAACGCAAAACCTATTGAAGTGGATTCTTATAAATAAATACATTACAAAATTAACTTCACAGACTCTTATTTAATCTTTTTAACACACACATATGATAGAGAACGTTACAAAATCAGCGACTATATAAGAGCATCCAGTCTATGATAAAACCAGTCAGGAAACACTACCCCGTTTGTGGGCTTGGCATATTTTTTTCGGTTCATGGAAACGTAAACGCAAAAAATATTTACTTTGGTAGCCAGTTAAACGCCACGGAATTACTTACAATTTGCTTATTGTTGTATAAACGTTTAAACTGTGTTTGTTTGTTGTTTAACGCCGCACTCAGCAATATTCCAGCTATATGACGGTGGTCTGTAAATAATCGAGTCTGGACCAGGCAATCCAGTGATTTATATCATGAGCATCGATTCAGCAATTGGTGTCGATGAAATGCATCAACCAAGTCAAGGAGCCTGACCACCCGAACCCGTTAGTCGCCTCTTACGACAAGCATAGTCGCCTTTTAGGGCAAGCATGGGTTGCTGAAGACCTATTCTACCCCGGATCTTCACTGGTCTTAAAACTGTGTACGTCCATGAAATAAATGTATACGTAACATGAAAGTAATTTCAGAACACGAACAATTCAGAGGAATATGTACTCACAACAGTCCCCTTTCTTGACGGGCTTGCGTCGAAATATGTGACATCTTGAAAATGAGGTTGGGCCATTAGTAATCAAAGTGTAATCTATAGGCCAAGTTCAAGTCGAAGTTAGGGGTGGAGGGATAGTCATTTTTTGTCACAATTTCTACATCTGTCACCCCACAATGGGAGATATCAAGTTGATTTCCAAGAAACTACTTGTGTCCATAGAGGGTTATTAGATCACTTCCTTTAATCAATTAATGTTATTGTAACCAGTATGTTGAACCAGTCAAGTATCTAAGTAATTAATCTTGAACCACCTTGAACCTTTTTCGACCCCTACTGTGACCCCTACCGCCTCTGTGGTCTAGTAGTATAGCGTCTACCAGGAGAGCGGAAGGTCAGGGGTTCGATCCTATGCCGCTTCAAACCAAAGACGTTAAAAGATTGTACTTGATGTTGCCCGCTCGGCATTAAGGGGCTAAGACAAATACTGGTCGGCTCGGAGTCAGTATACTGTGTCTGAGTGAGGTATTTCTGTTAAACTGCGGCATGGTTTCTCAGAGTGATAGCAATATAAATCGACATTAGTCCAGACTAGTACAAGCACACACACACGCACGCACGCACGCACGCACGCACGCACGCACGCACGCACACACAAACATGCATGCAGGTCGCTATATAAGTGCAATAATCCTGGACGCGACGTGAAACTCATTTACGCATTTGTAACTTCAGGCCAAAGCACTCATCTCCAAATTTAAATACTAAAGAGGTATCTAATCTACTGTAATGACTTGGTCATATTTGATATGTGATCACCCGAATGCATGAGAAAGTGTTAGTGTTCTTATGTAATGAGAGACTGGATTGCCTTACCTTCTTCAGGTGACCATTTGCCCAACACGTGAAAGTCTTCTTCTGCATATGCACTGTCTCATCCCGAAGACTCTGAATTACGTTCTCCTGATGCACTGATTCATCGGAAAACATGGTCCTCAGCTACACGGCTTCATCAAGGAGAGGGCAAGTCTGAAATACCAAGGACAACATTAATACTTGACGTAACGTTGATGATCATTCGTATCGTAGTTGATACAAAGCCTGTTTCAGCTCCAACCTGATCAGGGAAGACCTTCCTGAAACATCTACTTGTGATGAGGTCGCTCAAAGGAGCACTGATCGATGAAAAGACTAAGCCTGTGACTGAAAGCATGGGCAATGAATGTTCCACGCCATTCGGCACGATTACACACGTGCATCTAGACTACCATTTGCCAGACTTTCATTTTTGTGAAAGCCTCGGTGGCTAAGTGGGTTAGATCGCTGACTTTGTGTGCGTGTGATTAGGTGCCTCACTCTGGTAATGTGGTTCGAATCCCGCATGGGCTCAACCCCTAAAAGTACTAGAATCTGTACTTTACGAAGAAAGTGTATTTGTTTTAAACCCGAAGTTGTTTACAGACCAATTAGGGTAAAAATTGGAACTTAGGACCAGCTGATGCTGAGTCCACTAGCCATGTGAGGTATATTTCTATATAGTGAGTGAGTGAGTATGGTTTTTCATCGTTTTTAGCAATATTCCAGCAATATTCTACCCCGTGAAGATCCAGGGTAGAATAGGTCTTCAGCAACCCATGCTTGTCGTAAAAGGCGATTACGCTTGTCGTAAGAGGCGACTAAAGGGATCGGGTGGTCAGGCTCGCTGACTTGGTTGATGCATGTCATCGATCCGAATGGCGTGGATCGATGTTCATGATGTCATTCACTGGGTTGTCTGGTCCAGACTCGATTATTTACAGACAGCCGTCATAGAGCTGGAATATTGCTGGGTGCGGCGTTAAACTACAAACAAGACAAAAACAACAATATCACAACTTCACACATATTGAACCCATCCCTGGAATCGAACCCAGGTCTTCGGCGTGAAGAGCGAACGTTTTAACCACTAGGCTACCCGACCGCCCATTTCCATGTAGCTTTGCGCAGCTTGTATACCATGTGTTTGTCATATCCACGATAATAGGCAGGAGGAATGGCAATATTATTAAAAAATGGCCGAATACCTATCAATAACTCAAGGATCTGTTGACACAGCATGCTGACCCCGACCTTGGTGAAGCAGTTGATTAATTGCAAACTGTCCTCTAAGTGGACCGACAACCACAGAAGCATTACCACTGATGTATTGAGACTGGCGTGATAAAAACATGGCAGTAATAACATGGCGTTAATTACAGATATTGTTTCATGATGCAGATATCCTTGTCTTTCCCATACAATATTAGCATGGTTCCGCTGTTTACCAATGTCGCTGTTTTCATCAGAGTAAAATACTTTCTGAACAACTAATTTGATAAGAATGTTGGCATAACTGAAATATTGAATACAAAGGCGACTATCATATACAATGTCTTGAAACATATTGGACAACATGGACAATCTGCACTGGTCTGTCGGCCTTGGAATAGGCTAAGTGAGCTTCAATCAGAATGATAACAGAATGATGCCAGGGTAACAGTCCAAGTCTGCCACTCATTAACTGGCGGGGGCTCGGGTGGCCCAGTCGTCTAAGACGCCGCGATTCGCTGTGCAGAGTTGCGTCCCTTGGGAACGCCAGAAACCTATGATTGTGGGTTCGAATCCCGGTTCGCCCCGATTATGTTTCTAGGTTTGTCAGCACCATACCCGTGCTCGTGGGTTTCACCGAAGTGGTAAACGTCTGAGACCTACATCACTTCGGGCTTTCCTCCCACATTAGGCTGACACGCCGCGATATAACTGGAATATTGTTAAAAGCAGCGTTAAACCCAACTCACTCACTCACTCACTCTCTCATTAACTGGCACAGACAGGGGTCAAACAACCGCCGATACCCTGGAAGTTAGAGAGGCGACGACAAACCTCAACCCACACATAGGAATATATAAAGATTGTACAGGACAAATCTAAGAATGTTCTTAACACCGATTCTACCAACAACTCCGCACATCATAATTGATTCTGCTCGCACTTTAAAAAGGCGTATGGATTTTATTCACCAACACAAATTCTATTAACCAAAGTATGTCTTTGTATGACTTGTGAACCAGCATATGAATAGAATATCCAAGCGTCAAGAATGAGATCCAGTCATGTCATGTGCGGTGAAATTAAATGGGGATTAGCGTCGCGTTCAAGAATATTGCATATGGTGACGTGCCTGCACGTACGCTTTAGTGTTTGAACTAGTTCGGACTAACGCCGGTTTGACAGTGCTAGCCCACTGAGATACCATGCCGTAGTTTAACACGGAAACCTTGTATTATCCCAGAGAGATAACAACAAGTACCTTCTTTCAACGTCTTTCGGAGTGACATAACCGGGGATCGAACCACAGACTTTCCGCTCTTCGGGCAGACACTCTATCCACTAGACCACAGAGGCGATAAATTCCTGTTAAGCCACAAAACATACACCTCACCTGAACAATTTGCCCGACTTGGTATTTTAATTAGAGACGGTAGTCCACGCCTTTGGTGCAATATAAACTACCTTTACTACGAGATATCCTATTCAAGTTTTGTAATGGCCGTCCGTCTCATTCGCACGGGCCTTTCAGTCGACAAAAGCGACACGTAGCGGCAAACGCAAAACTCCTTGCAGGGCTGGGACATATCTTCACTGGACATGTATGTTTACATAAAGGAAAGCTAAAAACAGTCCAACCTACCCTGTTATCTTCTTTAAGTGGCATTTAGAAGTTGGTGAGTGAGTGAGTGAGTGTGGTTTTACGCAATGATTTTTTATCAATATTCCAGCAATATCACGGCAGGGGACACCAGAACTGGGCTTCACAAATTGTACCCATGTCGGGAATCGAACCTGGGTCTTCGGTGTGACTAGCGAACGCTTTAACCACTAGGCTACCCGGCCGCCCCTTTTTGGCATGATAAACAAGGGAGATTGTTCCACGGATATACAACTTCTTTATTACAATTAATGCGACATTTCGGTTTAGATACTTACACCGTTTTCAAGCAAGTGATGTGACCCAGTTTAACGAACTTCTCTAATAGATATTAATAAACATCAAATAAATATTAACATTTACACATTATGTGTGAACATCAAATAGGTGGCATGAATGCATTTGTGACACGATACAAAGAAGATGTGTGGTTTCAAAAAACAATTAATTTTGATACTTACACAAGTTTTGTTCGTCGCTTTTGAGTAGAAATGAGAGTAGACACTTTGGGCATACCATGTATCAGACACCCACTGTAGAAAACGTAGGTCTTTTACACGTAGACCAGGTTCACCTGGTATGGTGACGGTAGCAATCTAAGCGGTTGACTTTATTCCTATTCAGACCGGCATTCTTGTATCGCTTCCCGCCCCATTAAATGGAGGACGACCTGAATATATCGGCGTGTATATAGAACACCGTTTGTTGATCTGCGAGTGAATAAACTTGGAAAGGGTGTGGGTTGAATCTTATATGTAATAACACCATAGTACTCGCGTCTTTTGAATGAACATCTAATGTTCAAGCCATGTTTTCTATATTCTTCATAATGACTCATGACTTTGGTATCCGAACGAGCGATAAAGATAATAGTTTAATTCAACAGACATTTGCTGCAAAATGATGGAACAATACTCAATGGTAAGGTAGTCTATATTAATTAGTGTGAATATTAATAAAACAGACATGTCTTCCTTGTTATAATTTTCTTTCACATTGTTCCACTGTACCTGTAAACTGTTATTAGTTTCAGCAAAATCGGTATCTGTGACTTGAGTGAGTGAGTGGGTGAGTGAGTATGGTTTTACGCCGCTTTTAGCAATATTCCAGCAAAATCAAGGCGGGGCACACCAGAAATGGGCTTCACACAATGTACCCAATCTGTGACTTTATGTTTGAGCCATCATGTGATTGCCTGGTTTGTTTACAGGCCGCTGTCGCATGGCATGAATATATGTACTGATGAGCCCTATCAGGCAGCAAACACATCCTTTTATGTGTTTGTTACTTGTTTGTTTGTTGTTTAACGCCGCACTCAGCAATATTCCAGCTACATGACGGCAGTCTGTAAATAATCTGGACCAGACAATCCACTGATTAACATCATGCAATTGGGATACGATGACATCCATCAACCAAGTCAGCAAGCCTGACCACCCGATCCCGTTAGTCGCCTCTTACGACAAGCATAGTCACCTTTTACGGCAAGCATAAGCTATTCTATCCCGGATCATCACGAGTCACTTTTATGTGAGCAGGGTAGGGTATGCTTAGTATCCTTTTCGCGAACACCTGGTGTCATCACTGAATTTCAGTGGTCCTATTGTGTAATTTTCAACGATGATTTGCCCAGTGGAGTTTGTTTCGAGGGTGACATTGGCATTTTGGATTAATTTACATGAAAGGTGTTAACAACTTAGGCTGTATCCAATAACAGCAGACTTAAAAGATTATGTTACATTCAAATTAATTGTTTGAAAGATAAATCTTTAAAATTTGTTTTCTTAATAAACTGTATTCCCCGAAAAAAGGGAATGTATTTACCAACGACATACCTAAAGTCGTTGACTAGTATTCTTTATAAAACATGATCAATATGTACCTAACACAGCATGAAAAGTCAGATTTCCGTTTGAAACCGGACCTGAAACCTTCTGAGAACATTCCCCTGAACTGTCAACATTTGTGGTTTCAATCTGTTTAATTAAGTGTGAAACACATTAATAATAATATCTGAAAATTACCAAGAAAATGTTGCTGAAGGTATCCGGACGGTTTCCGGAAAACGGAAACTTGACACTTCATGCTGTGATAGAGTTAGTAATGTTTGTTCTATCCAAACTTACATCATCCACGAACGCGACATGAGCTTATAATTCATATCCATAGAGATTTTTCACAGGTTCAAATCTTTGGCCTATACTGAAGTAATGAGGTTTGTTCCTATCTGACATGTTTATCATGTAGGAATTGAATGTCACCATTGTTACGCCTTTTAGATTTATGGATGTCAACTTCCTTATTAAAAGGAGCACAACGTTTCGGAGTATATGCTTACTCCTTCATCTGATGAAGAAGTAAGCACATACTCCGAGACGTTGTGTTCCTTATAATAAAGAAGCTGACATCCATAAATTCCCTTCCTCATGTGTATCATTTCTGAATGCCTTTCAAAGACTTGTAGATACGCTAGTTCAACTGCTGTTTGTGTTTATACTTGCCTTTGCGTGTGTTTGTGACAGGATACGCTCACCTTTTCGAGAACACTTGGTAGCATTACTTTTTTATAGTGATTTATAAACACATGCTTATGATATGGTCATAATCGTACAATCGACACTGAATTATGCAGAGATTTCTATTGTATATGGTAAGGGTTTTGTCGCTTCATCATTATTATACTGTACAAGGAATTTCGAACGTCCCCGTTTATGTCATATGAAAATATAATCAAATAAATGATTGAATGTAGTGTCTATGGCTAGTTTGAATAAGTGAACGGTGGACGTTATATGAGCATGATATCTAGATAATCATGTTACTTAGTTAAAAAATATTTATCTTGCACACAATTATAAAGGTAAGTTTAATTTATTTCCGTACTTAGGACAGCACAGGCCTTTAGTACATTGTAAATACAATGTTGTTGAGTAACAGACTTATGTTAAATACATTTTATGCTGGAAATTTGTGCATGATGCAAATACATGGACGTGTTTCTTAACATTATGCATTACAACTTTTTAACAAAGACTGAAATGTAAAACTATTGGGAGATACAATTTTATTTAGATGGTATATACTTAATTTTAAGCTGAGCATAGAATGGACGTATATCATCATTAACCTTAATAAAGGTAAGTCACTATTTTAAAGTTAAACAATGTACATATTGCTGTATTCCATATCAGTTAATCGTCCGAATTCATTTAAAAGCTCATTTAAAAACATGTAAAAGTTGATACAGCATGTGACATATAATGTTTTTTATTAACTGTAGACAGACAATCCAGATCAAAACAGGGCCCACTTGCACAAAGCGATCTTAGCGCTAAGAATATTGTGAGCCTATGTTAAAGTATGGGAGTTACGATCATCTTAGCGCTAAGATCGCTTTGTGCAAGTGGGCCCAGATCCAGAGAAAAATTGTAACAACGAATGACATAGCAAAGCAGTGCAGCTAATGCAATGGTGACACCACTGTATCATTTCTAGTGTCAATATGAAACACCAGTCCTTTGTTTCAGAATTCTATAACCTTCGTTATGTGACGTGTGTTTCAAGACAAAGCAAGACCTCCTATGAACGTTTAATAAAAATGAGGAATAAATATATAAATGTTCATTATCTTTCGTGTTTGTGGAGAAGGATCTCATCATTGACAAATGTGAAAGCAGTTTAGGTTTTTAAAAAAAATGTCATTCTTTGAACCAAATGGGTCATAAATGTTATACTCTATTTCAATCTCCACTGGACCTTTGTCAACTCCTGTGATTCTTAAACAGAGCCCCAATTACAAAATGTGCTGCTTCTTCAGAATGAAAACAAATATTTGATCGTTTCAGATATGTCGATGTCGTTTTCATAAACTAGCGTGTTTTGAAAGCAACAAACAAACCTATTGTTTGTCTGTTTCGTGTAATTTCGGTCCCCAACAACTTTTCAAATTGATGAGGGGAAACGGTTTTCCCAGTTGGTTCAGGCTGCGCAGTTTGGCTGTGCAGAGTTGCTTTCCTTCGGCGTGCTAAAAACACTTCGGGGTTCCTCTCAAATCGACACTCCCGTGATGAAACTAACATTATGGCGTGATATAATACTCACTCACTCATAATATCACTTTTTACGAAACACAATTGCAACTGAGCCAGCTAGTTAAATCGAGAACATATTTTACATGTTTGCCATGTCTACGCCTAATAAACCAACCAACCAACGACGAACCTTTCACTCAATGAATGAGCTAATTGTTTACGTACATGTAGGTATGTATTTTCGCATTTGTAATTATGTTTGTGACCGAGTTCGAACCCTGGGCGCATTCATATCTAACTTAAAGATGATGCTTTGTTAAAAAATATTTTTTTTACAAATATACTTTAACAAATGGACCTGGTTAGAACTGATTTCAGCAACCCATGCTTGTCGTAAGAGGCGAATATGCTTGTCCTTAAGAGGGACTAACGGGATCGGGTGGTCAGGCTCGCTAACTTGCTTGATGCATGTCATCGTATCCCAATTACGTAGATCGATGCACATGATGTCACTGATTTGTCAAGTTCAGAGTCGATTATTTAAAGACCGACGTCATACAAGTGGAATATTGCTAAGTGCGGCGTTAAACAACAAACAAACAATCATATTCTGTGACAACGCGACATTTGGGCGAAATGTCGAGTTGTTGCATTATCGCGTTTTGTTAAAATACTAAAACTCAACAGTAATGAACAGTGACGTAACTGTTTAATGCTGTAGACTATTCGGAACAATGTGGCAAACATTTTTAAGCACGAATAACTGTCAAAAGAGTCTTGTGCAAAATGCCTTTGACATATTTAAAATAATATTGAAAGAGAGAAATTGCTTTGGTCTCAACAAGGTTGTGTATTGATATATAGAAACTTATATTTGAAAATAAACATTTTGACGATTTCGCTCCATTTGTTCCAATGTTGACATTGTTTGCGAAGAGTCCCATAGAAACGTGCCGTTATTTACTCAAAAAGTCTTTTACGGCTTTTACCCTTGAATCCGATGGTCGACTCAAGATCTATGACACCCAAAGTAAGTTAATCACGAATTGCTGTATATTTTCAAATAAAAAAAGCCAATTAAAAATCGCATTCTGTATAACAAACGACTCGAAAGACCTTCGATTTTGTTTCTCTCTATCAAACATGAGTTTACATATCTCTCAGAAGTTTTCAGTAATGGGAGGAAATTGTCAATAAATGATTCATTAATGTGTTGTAATCAATGAATCACTTCCTGGTTGTTGACACGACTGTTACTTCCCCCAAATCTATGACATTTCCTGTCGATTTATATTTATCCCATCCCACACAGTGCTATATAAATATAAATATAAGCGACAAAACCCGTTCCACAGTCATAAGAAATCTGTGCCAAAAGCAGAGTTGATTGTACGGTTCCTACTATATCATGAGCATGTGTTTATGAATCACCATCAAAAAGTGATAATAATAAAGTGCTGTCGGAAATGCTAGAAAAATGCTTTTTGCCTGTGAAAAAAGGATATAATTTTTCACAGACTGTTAACGTTGTTATTGAAATATCGAGAAACTACCGATC